TCCCCCGGGCTCTGGGCTCATCCCCCGAGCACTCGATGTCCGCGCGTCGGAAAAAGTGTCCATTCCGTATCGTCGTACTTGTGTCCAGGCGTTTCTGGCAGCAGAGTCCAAGTGCGCGCTTCTCCGAGTCGCCCCCAGTAGAGCACTCTGTGGTAAGTGAAGGACAGCTCACACACTCCGGAGCGAAAGCGGGTTTACCGGAGCGCATCGGGGATTACAGCAGATAACACGGAAAACCTGGGCGTGGCGGTCAAAGAAAAACTCATTCCGGGTACCGGTGCGTATTTGCGTTCGCACAGTTCAAGAATTCTCTTTCTCGGTTGCGCAGGCATGCAGTGCCGGCTGAGCGGCGCGCGGAGAGGGATAATCCCTGAATCACCTCACGGGGTGAAGGGCGGGTACCGTGTGTTCCCCCTACAGTTGATGCACGCAGGGTCTCTCGGCCGGAACTTCAGTCTTGTCACCTGTAAAGCCCTGAGGCTAAAGCTCCTTCATGTCCATTCCGGGCTTCCGATAACAGAGGAGTTGGACACTCAGGGGCCACAGTCTCCCCGTGTGCCCCCGGGCTGTTTTTCGCTGCAGAGTGGAGGTGGCGTCTGCGCTGAGCTCGCCGGTGGTGATGGGAAACTATTAGCCTCTGTCCCTCATCGTCCTCCTTTCTCCTCTGTAGGCCTGTGTGTAAGACTCTCCAGGGCCCTAGTATCAGGGGAGCCAATTTCCCAGTCCAAGTGATGTCACGGCATGGCGCGCACGGACACAGCGCAGCTGGGCGAAGAGAATAAAGCTTGCACATAATGACTGGGAGCGTAATTATGTCCAAAGGTAGATGGTTTTGTCTCCATAGATATGAAACAGAACAAGTAATTTTTCTGGGTGGGGATGGATCTTACAGGTTTTCCCCGCTTCCCACGTACATACGAAACACACAGAAACATGAGAAAAACATGGTACACAAATAAAAATTTTTTAGGGATTCGTGCACGAAGTACTGTATCATTTGTAGCCAACGATAGTTGACATCTTGGACTGTTAACAAATGGATACTAAGTTTTAAAAGTTTTTTGCATCAGATATTGCGCAAAAAGATATGTTGTGGATAATATAATTTGGTTTTGTATAAAAAATGAATTTTCGCTGAAAAAAGCGCTACTAAAAATCAGCACGACTGTGACATTATTGGAGTCATATTATGTTTTCTTACGATATTAAGATTACATGTATTTATTAACGATTAAGCAACCTACAGTGACTTTGTTTTAATGCGGGTTTTATCCCACTGTTTACCAAAAAAAAAAAAACTGCAGCTTCTGCGATTTAGAATATGCATTTTATTATGCTAATTGGTAGCCTCAGGTGGTTTCCTTGTTAATATCAAAGCAACCTGGCTTGACCAGCAGTGTGTTTGTATGTTGTATTGTCGCCAGAATGAACGACAAACCTGCATCACAAAACGACCGGTTGCCACAAGACTACAAGGAATAAAATACGCGACACTAAATGTTTTTGTATTTCCTTTTAACCAGTGTGTGTTGTTGGATGCATGTGTGTAGCATGCGTGGTGGTGTGTTGTGTCTGTGTGTGTGTTTTGTGTGGTGTTGTGTGTGTGTGTGGTCGTGTGCTTGTGTTTCGGCGTGCTTGCGGCCCCCTCTCGACGGTCACAGTCAGTGGTTTTCGGTTGATCCGACTTCTTTTGGCTGCCGTTGAGTTCACTGTGATTGTAAAGGAACAGTGAGAATCTAGGGAGGAGGGGGGGTCGATTCGCCAGCCCCACCCATGTTTAGTTCTCCCGATGCGGGCGCACATCCGGCAGTCTCGACGATGCCTAATTGATCAGGCACCCTTAGGGGCACCTTGTTAGAAAGAAACTGAGTAGAGTTATTGTTGTTAATTGAGAATTTATTCTATCTCTTAGTTTATGGTTTACGCGTTAACACTCCGGTGTGTAGGCAGAGAATGCGGGCCCAACATGTTTACCGGGGTCGGAGGGTAATGGTTGATGGTCAGTGGATTCTGTTTTTTTTGCGTTTTTTTTTTTCTCCAAACAGAACACGCTTTTTCTTTTTGTTTAGAAGTTTTTTTTTAAATATATATATATACATATATACAGTATCTGCAGCCCTCTGGGGATCATCTAGCGTTATTGTACTTGTTGTTTTTGCCTCTAATAGTGAGCTACTGTTGTGTTACACCAACTGAGATGCGTTAAGTTGCAGCAGGAAGGTGAGAATTTCTAAATATTTGGGATTCAAAATGGGTCAGGCCTCGCGTCTGTCGTGGCCACAGCAGCTAGCCGCCAGCTAGCCTGCAATGTAAACATTTTTCCAATTGTCGGCACCTTTTGTTGGGCTTTTCGGATAATTAGACCGGGGATACGGGGCACTGATACACATAGGGGAGCTCTGGACTACTACATGTGTTTATAAAGGTTGTTAAAATGTTACCACGGGCAGTCTGAGGCTGCCTTTTGTATTTGCCTCTTCTGGCATGCAGCCATTAGTACGAGTCCTTATTTAGCTAACGTTAGCACCAGTAATGGCTCCACTGATTACCATTATTGTAGCCGTGGCGCTCGTTTTACAGTATCTGAGCAATGCATCCAGCAGTCTTGGTGACCTTATACGCCGGGTATTCGCCCCACTGTTCACCTACATTCACCCCGGGCGAAGTTAATTAGCGAAATTTGGCTTTCCTCGCCAGCTAGCTTGTTAGCAGTCTGCTGGAATTCAACATCACATTATAGTCTCGATTCATGGCGTCGTTGCGTCAGGTTGGATTAAAACCTTACACCTCCTGCTCCAAACGTACACAAGGGGGCTTCAAAATCTGCACCGACGCTGCGAGTGAAGCTTAATTAGTACAAGATTCTTGTCACATAAACGTAGACGTTGTGCAGATTATGCCCAGGTGGTGTTATTGACAGTGTATCAATGGCCCTGATCAGGTTATTTGCACTGTGTGTGGGTTTGTTGTTCATATAGCTGCAGTCCTTTTGCTGCCTTCAAGTGCTTTTTGTAAACTCCCAACTCCTAGAACTTGAAACTTGTTGGTGCATTGGAGTTTGTTTTTTGTTTTTTTTAAAGATATTAATAACAAATCTGTCATGATACTAGTCTTTCTTCATACGTATATTGATTCCTACTTTGTACAACACTGGTATTTTAAAAATAATAATATATATATATATATGTCTGGGCTGCAATTTAATCTATTTATCTATGTGATACACATATTTTTAATCTAGAGGCAGACAGTTATCCCATTTATGTGCGCTGACTGAATGTCACATCTAACATATTTACCTCTACGCTGAATTGTTTGCGTCTAGCACTCTTTGCATTTACAATATTTCAGGCAGCGCTCAAAGGCAGCTTTTTTTAATGGACTGAAGTTTTCCGAAGTTACTGCATATTCCGCCCAGGCAGAGTTGAATTAGGGTGGATTTCTGTACTCTTCGGGCTAGGTGAAGTCATGTTTATGCTGATTTTGTTGATGAGCAATGGAAAATTATGACTTGGATATATCGTTGTCCTCAATTTATTTATCTTACAGAA